AGGTTGCAGGGGAGCTTTGGGGCTGCTGGCTTTACATGTTTATCCTTCGTCAAGTTTCTCTGGCACCGACAGGCTGATGATGGCCAGTCTCGAGTTTCGGGCTTTCGACTCGCAAGGCAGGCACGGATTCATGAGTCGGGCTTTAGGCCCTTACGGCTGAGTGGTTCGGGACTGTAGGAGTTAGGACGGCGTCCTTCATGCAGTTATCGGTCATGGAACCTTCGTCAGCCACCCTTAACCAAGCGCCGCACCTGAACCCACAGCAACCCGGCCTTTGCCCTGCGAGTTGGCCTCCGCAGGTGGAGCCTTGTAGTAAAAGATGACCTGTCAAGAGGTAGCTCGCAGTAATCGAGCAACCATGAGAAGTTCGATGTGATCTGGCCCTTAAGCCGACTTGGTTCTACACTGTTCTCCGGGTCGTTGCACACGGACCCATGGTGGAGGTTCTGCATGTGGTTACTTGGCTCTGCTTCGCGTTTGTGGTTCGGCAGCACCGGGGTTTTTCTGGTCCTCTGAGCCCAATCGAAGCGAATCCGAGGTTGTTTCATAACGAAAACCATCCAGCACTTGCGGCACTCTCTACGGCCCTCTCCATCCCAAGCTGAATGGACTTGAATAGACATTCAGGGGCTCAGGGTTGAGGGTTTGGTCAAAATAGGGGCCTTCAGTCATTCATTGGAACAAGGGAGCCTTGGGCTACAGTATTATTCTGCTATCGTTGTATTATGGCCACCACGAAGGCCGGAGCACCGATCCTCTGCGCTGGGTGCCCGGCCATGGCGAAGGGCAGGCAAATGGCCGAGTAGACATAGTAAACTACCACAGGCCTCGGCTTCAGGTTTCTCGCGGTCGATGCTTTCTGCTGAGGCTTAAGGTTTCGACTTGCACACTCGCACAATGCAGGGATTGCTATTGTCGAGTCCAGGGTTCAGGGTTCAGGGTTTCGACTCCCACGACCCCCACAAGGCAGGCAAGGATCCAGAGTGTATGGTGTGGGGTCTCAGTCGTCGAGGTGCGACGAAAGTTCGACACCAATCTTCTGATTTGCTGCTGCCAACAACGACGGTGTGTCTCCATGAACCCGGAATTTAGGAGCTGGGCTGTGTTTAGCTTCCAGCTCTACTGCTACCACTAGTAAGTGATGAATAGTCCGACAGTCATGAAATAATCCTGAGAACAACAATAATGCTTATAGCCATGCTCGTCAGAGTAGTATTGTTACTAGCAGGTACAGAGGTAAGCCATTGTAAAAGAATTAGTTTTAATGGTAAGTAGCAGTAGTATATGTAATGGCTTTAGAAGTAGCGGGAGTAGTCGAATCAATATCAGTATGAGCGATTCGTATTCGTATGAGGTGTTAGTGTTAGACTTTAGTAACGTTAGTGTCGGCGCACGTTTTAATGCTAGAACTATACTATTAGTACTAGAGATGGTAATACTGAAAGTAATCAGAAAAACAACAATGATTGATTCAATAAACATGTCACAAAAAATAAGACTGGTAAGTGTTACAAGTGCCATTTTGGGTCACTGAGCTCCCCACATGCCCCACTGCTGGAAGGTCCCCAGAAGGATGTTGTGCACGGCAAAGCCCAGAGGAGCTCCCATGATGGCGAAGGTTTTTGTGTTTTTACCTGAGCACTTAGCATCTGAAATAATTAGTATAAGGTTTGGGGGTGTATGATACTATAATTATAATAAGGAACCCCCCCCAAAATAGTATAGGTAATTATGAAGGCCCCTATATGGACTTAGGAGCTGGGTTTAGCGTTTTTCATAATGGCTCTTGCCGTCTGCGGCAGGTTCTAACCGCCGGAACCAGCGTTTCGAGTTTCGGCGCTCACCCCCCCACTTGGGTTCTTCTGCTTTAGGGCTTCAAGGCGTCAAGAAGTCAGCCATCCGGTACGCACTTTATGAGTGGGAGGGGGGCTTTGACACATATTTAGCCTTCGTCTCCAGTGACAGATCCTCCCGCACGATAGGCGACCCTCGCAAAACCTGAGCCAGAAGTCGATCAGCCATGAAACTATATGATCAGACCCTACGGTAGCTATCGGCTGTCAGGCAGGCGAGACGCCAAGTACGCTGATCACGCTCAGGAATGTGCCCTCAAAGAGTCCGATGGCAATGCCTGCCGCCCAGATCGAGGCACTGATCAGCTCCGAGAAACCGCAGACCGAAATCATCATTCCGCGGAAGCATGACATGTCCATCAGTATACAAAGCACATGGATGAGCTGAAGGGAGCCGTCCAAAACTCAACAGCCCAACAGTCTGCACCACCGATAAAATACCAAGCCCATTTTTGAACCCAGACTCTGCTGATCCGCTGGGAATCCCCAAACCCTAAACCCTAAACCCTGAAAGCCTGAAAAAAAAAAATCCGTAGTCTGCTGGACAGTGCAAGGGCCCTCTTCGAGCCGGGGATCCCCAAGCCAAGACATCCCAAAGCAAAAATGATCGCTACTCAACGCTTCGAGGTGGGAAGCCCTGGCCTGGCCGAGGCTGCCCACGTGCTGTAACACTACAGTATTAATATCACTGGCCATAAGTATGATAGTAAGAGAAATAGTAAGAATGATGGTAGTGTTAACGGTGATTAGAAATACGGTAATTCTATAATCGCGGCAATCATAGTGATAACAGTGGTAATAATTTAATAGCAATAACTATAAGAAGAAGAGCAATCATAATAGCACGCAGTGGTAATACCAATAGTAATAATAGTAAGCATTCGGATGGTAAGCCCGCAAGCAATGGAATTCCGGATTCCGGATGCCGACCTCCCAGGGTGTACTGCAGGTACACGACGGACAGGTCCGTCATGTCAGCACACCAGACAAGGAAGACCGGGACTAGCACAGCCACAAACATAACGACCTTCAGCGGCTGTCGGCGAGTGAGGCCCGTGCGGCTTGCTCAATATAAGGGTCTTCATGATTTGCTGCGGGTTCGATGTGGACAAGCGGCATAGGATAGATAGACAATGCCGTTTGGCTGCATGAAAACCAGCAGGGAGATCTGCAGAACCCGCATCAGAAGCTTGGAGAGCTGAAAGGATGCAGTAGCATCTTGGAAAGCACCAGCTTGATCGGGCGCCAGGTCAAGCTTCATCTTCAAAGCCTCGGAGATGCGTAGGTTTTGGGATCAAATCTCGTCCGCAAGATCTTCGGGGACACACTTGTTGTGCCATCTAACTGTGCCAAACACATAATGCCAACACTAAACCCAGAGGGCCCACATCCAAGTTCTATGTGCTGACTCGATCCAACGGCCAAACCCTAGTCGAAAGCCCCTCACAGGTGCATCACCCTGCCGGTCTCCCTGCCACCCAGCGACGTGCTGAGGGTTGCCATTCATGACACCGTAACCTGCGTGTCTGCACGGTTGAAGCTTTTGGAACTATGTTGAGCTTGGGAACTCTGAGGATTTGGACAAGTGGGTCCAAGGTTTGGAAATCGGTTCCCTTGTTCCTGAACCGCACCCGAAACTCTTAAGTCTTGGACCCACGCCTTGGAACATGATGAGGAAGGCCAGGAGAAGTGATTTCACCGGCGGTGGGTCTTGCACGGGCTGTTCCTCCTGCAACAGAACGCCTCAGACGAAGAGAGCCGGGCTGAAAGATTGAGATTCAGGGCTTGAGAACAAGGTCTCGAGGTAGCGCCATACTCGTAGTCATAGTCATAGTCGTAGTAGCAGCAGTAGTTTTGTCACCCACTTGGCACGACAGAATCAGCAGTGCGGGGCTACGAGTAGTCACGAGAGTTACCAGAGTCAGTCGTCTCACATTTCCAGCAAAAGACAGAAACACAAAGTTAAAAAGGATACAGATCAGTGAGATTGGATGCCTCAAGGAAAAATATTACACCAGCTCATCACCTGAACAAGACAGCATCATAAAGCTGTTTCATAGCCAGTGTGATGGCAAGCAGGTCCTTTCTTCGACAAACATCGAGTTTGAAAGCTCCTGAAGTCAGCAGAGCGCGGCGTCCTAATCACGACAGCTTGCCCAATAAAACAAGAACAACTGAATCAGAAAAACTGTTGTGGCGACATCGTTTGGCGATCACTCCTGTCCTGGGCATGACCTGGCATCCTTTCATGCTAGTGCCAGAGCTACTACTTTCCCTTTTACTGCACAAGTAAACGGATTCGTTCCGTTGTTGGTACTTGTGGTCTCTGGTAAATCGCTTTTTGCATGTGCTATCACTGGGCGCAATCATGCATGACAAGCCACCGTCGAAGCCTAAAGCACTCAAAGCCTGTAAGCCTAGGGTATTCAACACCCAAATGAAGAAGCTCAGGCACACAACATGTCCCAAACGGAGAAGTTCCAGAAACACAAAACCGTGACTTCGAATCGCACAAACTTGCAGAAATCACGTCGCATAGCTCTGAGGACCGTGCTTCTGTCGTTGTCACGGGTCGGCGAACCCATCTCATAGCTTCGAGAGGCCTCTTTCAGTTGCTTTGGTTTACGGCACGCATGCATGTCAGACAACACAAAGGTTTAGGGTTGTAGGGCGTAGGCACAGACAGACACATACCATTGCATGACAACACGTGGTGTCATGAGCTACTTCAGCGCCAGGTCAACTAATCAGGGGAGTCAGCAAACATCCGGATCCGCAAAGATCGACAACCTCCAACAAAATTCTGCGAAGAAGGTCCATGCCTCCGCCATGGCTGGAAATCACGGCGCATGTAGCAGGGGCTGCTCTGCTTTGTCAGCCAATTTAGATTGCGACGTCGTGCTGCTATGGTGAACTAAGATCATAGGCCGAATGGCAGTGGACATTGAACAATTGTTTTCTTAAGCTGCACTTTCAAGCCGCATGCAAGCGGTGGTTGTGACTGGAATCACACACACACACACGCACACACACATGACCCGGCTCTCATCTCTCACAGGGTGGTTGGTGGGAAAGCTAGACCACAAGCAAGTCCCCATGATCCAGTATCCACTCACGGCGTGCGCATCATCATTTTGCGGCTCCCGCTCATGTTTTATCCGTCCGCGACCATTCCGACCAACTTCGGCGTAAGTTTCGGCAGCTCCGCTCTGTGGATGCGTCCTCGCTGGTGTCCGTCTCGGCTTCGGCTATATCATCGCTTTGTAGCGCCATTGACGCCTCTGTCGGCTGCTGGCCCGGATCGCCTCTGGCGGCACGAATGGACTGGAGTTCACCCTGAAGGGACAGCACGTCGCTCTGCAGCGCCGAGAAAGCCTGCAAGGATCAATCAGCTGGGTGCATCCCTACCTTTCTCCCCTATACAGGCTAAGTCAAAAAAGACTGCAGGATCAAGTGCTGGACACAAACCCAGCATGCAAGGCCGCTGCGAGAGCACTATTGCTGAGTTTCGCCAAGAGGGTCGGAAATTGAATCGTGCAGGCAACGATGCTTGTTCAAAATTCACCTGCTTCAGGCTGAAAAAAGATTGCAGGACCATGCAGACTTGCAAACTTGTGCATGCCGCCCACAGCACAATTGCTGGCATATGATATCATGTTAAGATATACCATGTTCTACGTTGATATCATAGTCTATTCTAAGATAACATATTATACTATCTTGTACCATATACATACATATATGTATGTATGTATGTATGTCTGTCTGTATGTCTGTATGTATGTATGTATGTATGTACGTATGTATGTATGTGTGTGTATATATGTATGTATGTTTTATATATATATATATGTGTGTGTGTTATCACAGAAAAATTATACGGCTATCATATTTGAAGCACTCCAGTCGAGGGATGGGCGGCCCCGATTTACATAAACCTGGTCCTAACCAAGTCAGGCGGTGACAAACCGCACGCAGTGGGTTGATGCACCCTTGTCGTAACCCTGAAGATTGCTGTTAGAATAACCGTTCATAGAAACGTTCATAGTAAAATTTCAGAGCAGCCCTGTACACTGAGCTTTTAGGCTCACTCTTAAAAGCAAGTCAGGGATGAACAAAAACATTAGGAGCCTAAACAATGACTAGTAATTATGCCTCAGTCCCTTATTGTAATAAAAAAACCTCCGGCCATTTTAAACGGAGCCCTTAAAGGAACCTCCTCCTGATGATTAAAGCCCCCCCATGAGCCACACCTCCTGGAGTTCCTTCAAGGAGAGAAGCTTCTGCGGCTCAAAGGGGGCTGGCACTTCCGCGCGGCTTTCCTGCAGGTTTCGGAGGTTTGGGAGTTGGGGTAAGAGGGTTCAGGGAGGACGTAGGAGGAATTCGGAAGAATGGTGCTGTAGGAATTGATTGGCTTCGGCTGAGGTGCTGCACGCTTGAGGTCGAGCCCTCAGGCCGTCGGATTCGGGAAAAAACGAATTCGACTTTGGTATTATCAAGAAAGGGCGGGTTGAGAGCTCAGGTTCATCAGTATTTCGGTTGCAACTTTCCTTGGCAGCTTGGATCAATGAAGTTGTTTCTGCCTCCGCAAAAGCCATGTAAAGGTCCATCCACGAAGCAGCTGTCTAAGCAGCTGTTTGTGCATCTGCGAAATCCTCCACGAGTGTGTCTTTTCATATAGCAGTGGAGATGGCTTCAGTGTAGGTGTTCATAGGAGCGCAAGTGACGACCGACACATTCGACCTTGCTTACGCTGAAAGTACTAGCTAGCACCAATGCAAGAACAGACATCTTCAATTGCAGCCTGTCTGTGGGGCATGACCACCTACTAAGCGACCTAAGCCTTTTCAATCTGCCCTACCACCTCGGCGTGGATTGGCGGCACCAGTGTCGGCGCGGGAAACGGCGCCGGCACAGCCCCAGGCGGTGGCCCAAACTGCGCGAATCGTACTCAAAGCAGTTGCTTTTGACTCTCAACTTGTTGGCTGGTTGGCAAAATAATAAAAATAACAATAATAATACTAATAATAATATAAGAATAAGAGTAACAATAACAATCATAATAAAAATAATACTAATAATAGTAGTAACATTTGATGATGGTAATAACAATAAACTACTACCAGCATATACCAATAGCAGTAACAATTGCGCTCCGGGGCCACTAGCAGTAACAATTGCGCTCCGGGGCCACTTCGTTCATTCGAGAGGTAAGACTAGAGGCAGGCACTTAATCTTCATAGCGTCATAGAGACGACCCGGGTCCTCCTTTCGTGTGGAACATGCTGAAACCCTGAATAAAACAAACAAATCGCAGGCAGCCCTTGCATCGGCACCACGACAGCCAGATGTAAAGCGCACTGGCAACAAATCACTGTGTAGATATTCTGGCTTATATGTATGTGTGTGTGTGCGTGTTGGTTGTTGTGTTTGTGTGTGTATATGTGCATGCAAGCATGTATGCATGCCAGCATACAAAATCCTTTTTGAATCGACATACGTATACATATGGTTTACGAGGGACAGCGGATAAATAGACAGTGTAACCGTTTACAGAGTCGTCCTAGGCCCTATGGCTACAAGTCGTGCGTGTAGTGGGGCTGTAGCAGGAAGATGGTCTAGCTATGAGGCGGCGGCGGCGGTCGGCCAGCGGCCCAACCCTGTAAAACTTTAGATTGATTCTAGGCTTGTGGTGCGGGTCCGCCCCTTCTTATCTCTGCCTTAACCTACTCCAACCTGCTTTTTTTGTAGGGTCTTGGTACAAGCCGTGGTACGGAATGTATATGAACCCTACTCAAAAAAGCTAGGTTCGCGTAGCTTCTATTTTGCGAAACTACGTGTTTCTACCCTGCTGAACCCTAAAATGCCCTTGGAAACGCCTCCTCCGGGACTTTGGGAATCGCTGGGCCAGGACTTTGTGGACTCTGCGGGACCGTGCCAAACACCAGGACCGGAGGCCTCCCGATCGGGCTCAGGGCTTCGTTCCGGGGGGTTTGGGGTTTAGGGTTCAGCGCTTCGGGTTTTGGATTTTTGGGATTATAATTAGGCCTTATATAGGGACTTATATGTAGGGTGTAGGATGTAGATTGCGTTACAGGAGACTACAGAGGATCATTGTAATATCCTTGCACCACACCGTTGCTTACAGGGTTTCGACTCAGACACTCGCCCAAGGCTGGCGTTGGGATTGCAGGATTGCTTCCTCCCGCACTGCAGGGACTTATTAATTACGTGGTGCAAGTCCGGGCGACCTACAGTCTCCACAAGAAACACTAACACCATTGATAGGTCTCTGTTGGTACATCGCACAATGCTAAGATAGGCTTCGGCACTTGGGGTTCTCACTGGCTTAGGGTAAAAAGCGCCGTTGATTCCAAATACAGCATGCGGGCTGAGAGCACAGAAGTGCTGGCCCAAGCATGGGCATCTGGCATGCTATCCGAAGTGTCCGACACAATGGAAAGATACGGGAAGACTCTATCTCAACAGCTTAGGCAGCGCAGTTTGACTCCGCGATGTGAGCTTCGTCAGCTGCAAGACAGGAAGGCCAACAAACTCAAAACATGCATCATTCCAGTTCTATTGCAGCATCGTCGGGGGTTTATTTCCGATGGTCATGCGTGAAGCCTTCCTTCGCCTGCCGACCCGGACTAGCCGAGATTTGGGAGTGGATCCATGATCTAAAAAGAGGGTGGCTTTTGCTCTTTCAGGTACCAGAGGTTAAGGGCTAGGAGAGGACGTGAATCTAAGTTGTTGCAGGCTTGGATGACGATCCTGTCGTCCATTTCTGCGGTCGGGTCCAAACGTTGCAGCTGGCTTTAGTTAGCGGCATCAGAGTCGCCGAGGCAAGACTCTGTCTTTGAGACTCCGACCTCGGTGTTCAAGAACCCCAACATCGTGTTGGAATTTATTCCCCTGTTGGGGCTGTAGCGATGGATATTGAGCGTGTTTAACCCCTTGGTTGCCGTCGGCACCCTTGTTTCCGATGTAAAGCCACCTTAGCATGAAGGAGGCACAAGGGTCCTGTCCTTGTCGGAAAGTAGACGCGGTGTTCGGCGCTGCTGCTAAGACCCAAGACCTTTGCAGCAACCTTGCCTCGTCGCCCGGGAGCTCCCTCTGCCCAGACCTAAATCCCGAACCCTCAACCGCAACAAAGCGAAAAACGAAAGCTGAGAGCCTGAAACCATCTCTGCGACCTCAACCTAAACACCAAAACCCTAAACCCTAACCCAAACCCTAAACCCTAAACCCTAAACCCTAACCCCAAAAACCTAAACACCAAACCCTACACCCTAACCCTAACCCTAACACCTAAACACCAAAGAGCCCGCCTTGGAGCTTGGCTTGGTCTGGCATGCACGGGTGATACTGGGAGCCTCCTCTGCGGAGAGACGGAGCCTCGGGAAAACCCCAGGAACCCAACAAGAAAGGGGTCAGGGCTTTTTTCCCTCCCACTTAGCAAGGACGACACCTGCGTTGCAGGGTAAATTTGCATTGGGTTTAGGGTTGAAGGGTTTAGGGGTTTAGGGTTTAAGGGTTTAGGGGTTTAGGGTGTAAGGGTTTAGGGCCCTAATCGTTAGAATACAGTTGGGTTTCGGAGTGTATTGAAGCAATACAAGTCTATTCCGGAACCCTAACGAACAGTTCATCCTCGACCAAGGCATAATTAATAGCGTCCATTGCCGCAAGCATCCGCTTCCAAGACTATCCAAGGGCAAAGCCTCATAACCTCCATTCGCGATAGTATCCGTTCCCCAGGACAAAGCCTAAATAACATCCATTCGCGAGAGCATCCGCCAGGCAAAGCTAAGTGAAAGGATGATGGTGATGATGAGGATGATGATGGTGATGACGATAACTTCTTTGGGCCTGCGTTCTACATGAAAGGTTGATGGTGAGACAACCCGGAGACAGGCCCAAAAGGGAATCGCAGCATCTTTCTATAAACACACCGATGTAAAACCCTACATCGTACCAACTATGTGTATATTCGCAGATAACCAAAAATGCAAACAACTACGAAAGAAAAGTTTGTGAGTGTATATATATATATAAACATTATATATATATATGTGTGTGTGTATGTAGACACACATATGTATGTATGTGTGTGTGTATATATATATATAAACATATACTTATACATATACATCTATATGTATGTATATGTGTGTACCAAAGACAAAGCATGCATGCGAGCATGGATACATCCATGGATGGATGGAAAGATGGATGGATGGATGGATAGATGCGTACACACTCATGCATTCTATGAGATATCCTGAAGCATAATCCAATCAGAGTCATCATGCATGTTTTATTCTAGTTTTCAGCTCTGGAGCGACTTTCCATGGGGCGGCCGCGCGTGGCACTAGCCTTTGCTGCTGTGCTTTGAGGTTTGGGGTTTTGCATTTCCGGGTTTGGGTGTCAGGGATTTTGGACTCTCGCGGCTCGGCAATGCAGGCGAGGCTGATTCGGGAGTTTCGTTAACGCCCCTTTTCCGCTCGCCACTGCTAGCGGGCTTTTGAGGTTTGGACTCTCACGACTCGAACGATGCAGCTGAGGCTTGTCCAGGGTGTGAAGGCTGGGCTGGTACATGTGCCAACCCGTTTTGGGTTTGGGGCAGGAGATGAGGGCAAAACATGTAGCTGCTCCCTCTCCTCCTCGTTGGTGCATTAAAAGCTCATGTCTTAAGCTTCTCATACGAAGTGATCAGCTCACACTCGGGACTGTTGCAAAGGACAAAATAAGACAAGTTGCCATGTGCATCGGCAGCCCGCGGATGACCGAGGGCACAGCCGTTCGGGTGAACGGGACCCGTGGAGCCGGAGCCGGCAACGGTGGCCCAGGGACGCCTTGCCAAAGAACGTAAAAGAGGCTGACGAATGGAAATGGACAGAAGCATGGACAGATCCGGAAGTTTGGTTGGTTCCTGGGTTCCGAATGCAGCAACCAAGAATCTCTCAAGCTCAAGATTAGGCTCATGGACGCTGATGCTTGTGATGGCTGGTCGGCCTCAACATGACGACTTCAGTTCAACAGCAAGCCGATAAGGTTAGTACGGGATCGGGAGTTACCGCCGAAAAATCGGTGATGACTGTTTGCCCCAAAATTTTGTTCCCAGAGAGCCGGAGACCCGGAGCGATAATTCGGGCTTCGGGCTTCACAAATGTAAGGCGTGCAGCGACATGCATGCAACGAGCTGCGAGACCTGCTTGAATTCTCAGGGTATGTAGCTTATGGCTTACGGAAGTACAAGTGCTTCACAAATAAATAAGCCAGAGAAAAGTAAACCGACACTCTACGACTCTACCGCTTTTCAAGGGTTTGCCTGGGCTCGCGGAAGCCGGCGGAGGAGGGTTGCTGCAGCTTCGGTGCCGCTTCTCCGGTGAAGGCGATGTCGACAGCTTCTGCTTGGCGTGGGTCTCTCGAGCATCTGCTTCCATCCTGAGCCGCTCTCGTCGTCTTGTCTAGTACGTCTAGTATTAGGGGCGGTAACCAGAGTAGGATTTTGGAATCTACGGAACCTCAAGGGAATAGTACTACTTATTACTGAGGTCCCTCTGTCACCCTCTGGAACTCCGTCTGCGAACACGAGGCGGCAAGCACTTGTGTGCAAGCAGAGAGTCTCTTCAGTCGACTCCCGGCACTCGCACACGGCCGGCAAGGATTCACTACAACTGGTGCGAAGATGCAACGCAATGCGACGCACCGGCGCCGGCACGTGTAGCCAAACCAAAATATGCCAAAGAGCCAGCCCACAGGAGGCAACTCATAAGACTATATGTTATATACCTAATATCGAGATCAGTTCTTGTAAAACCCACCCGTACCCTCAGCCACCGAAAGCCAGGGCTGGGAAGCAGACGTCTGTCTGCGAGGTGGCGAATATGCAACAAACGCGACGTCCCGAATTCGGACCTCCACCAAACACTCCATGCAAAACCCAAACCCCGCAAACCTCCACTCAAATGCAACTGGAGCAGCACGGCCAAGAGCATCGCCTCCATCCTGTTCGTCGGGTACAACTCCTCCGCATGCAGCCCGGGAGCCCTCGTCTTTTAAAGGAGTCGAGCTTACAGTTGGGTTTCGGGGCCTCAGAGCGTGAAAAAATGCGTTGCGGCCGTCTTGGGATCTGCGGAACTGTGGAATGCGAGGTGCAGCGACTTCGGAAAAGATCGCGACAAGACGAATAAAGCCATACCGAGAAACGGGCAAAGGCCTGGGCTGCAATCAGCAAGAGCGGCTGTTTCGTATGCACAAGGGCGATGTTGGCTGCGCATGATGCTAAACATCATCTGCCCATGCTGAAAGTCTCAGGAGATTTCCGGCGGGTTTGAGACTCCCGTGTGCTCGGCGTTGACCGTCAAACGCTCGCAAACCCGGGCCAACACATGGTACAGAACAGCGCGGCCTACGAAACACGAGGACGCAGGAGTCAGGAGTGTTTCCTACACTCCGACATCACGGACACGTGACTAAAAGTATCTGCCACTGCATAAGGAAAACCCTTTACGAAAAGCATATTTCGCAGTTGCATTCAGAAACCTGTGATCCTTGCGCCACTGACTCTCATCGAGCTTGCTTCGCCCACGGGGCTGAGAACTCTATTGACTTCTAGCAGTAAGTCGAAAGTTTGCTGGCTGTGTCGGCGCTTTTGGGGCGCAGTCAGCTCCTTAACTTCGGAAGACTCTGGTCGCCGACGGAGTTGCTTCTTTGGCTGGCATTTAACTCGCTGTTGCTACTTCAGGACTGTGCAGATACCCACATGTCTCTGGCCTCCACCCTAACTTTCCCCCTTGTTGAGCATAAGATGGGAGACCAGTCACGGTCCACAGACAGCATGCGGCGACTTGAAAACCTAAACCATCTTGCGGATTCTCGCCGCAAGCACTCTGAGGACTTTGAAGTATACGATGTTTCGTCACGTTGGGTCGCAGGAATTTCGGCTTCAGGTCTTGGGACAAGTCTAGATGAATGCATTTTACGAGCTTGCATTTGACCCTAAACCTTCAGACCTTCAAGCATCTTTAAGCCATAACCCAAGTCGCCAACATCGGAACAATAAACCCTATACCGGCTCGGAACTCCTCGAAGGATACCCGATGGGGGCGCGGGAGGGCATGCAAAGCCGACTGCACCATCGGAGGTTCCATCCAAGCTTCCTTCTGGTGCAAAAGCATCCGGAGGCTTGGTGAGGTATGCACTTGCATCTTAAAACATTGTTGAGCTTGAACTTGACCTCGTTTTTGCCAAAATGCACATAAACATGACTGGATGGTCTCCCAAGCCATGACAAGAGCTGACCTTTGCTCTGAATCCTAGATCCAGGCCCGATTTTTGGTCCGATACACTATGGACAGCTACTCAAGTACTGTGTACCGAAGAGTGTAAGAAAGCTCACCTTGTCTGTCTAGAACTATGCACATATGTGTGTGTGCGCGTAAATAGGTGTGTGTATATATGTGCACACACATACACATATGTATGTGTGTGTGTGATATCTTTCTTTCGGCAGGGTTATGAGCAAGGGAGGGAACCCCGTTTGTGTAATATCTATCTCTCTCTCCCTCTCTCTCTCGCTCTGTCTCACTTTCTCCATCGCTGATTGTTTATTTACTTTTATATGCACCTATACATCCATCCATGCATGCATGCATACATACATATATATGTATATGTATGTATGTATGTATATACATATGTCTATACATATGTATGTGTATATATATATATACACATGTTCAGGGAAAAACTGTGGTATTGCATGCTGTAAACGACAAATACAGGCATGCGGCAAAGTACTTCCCATGCCCCCAAGTGTCATTGCGGCCGGAGCCGGAGAGGTAATCGTCCAAAGGTTGCTTCAAAGGACCGTCCACAACGAACGGCTCCAAGAAGCCACTACGTCCTTGGAAGAACTTGGGGCCAGCGACCCCACAGTACCGTGCACCTGAACCCCCGTAGCCCCTACGGCTTGCGAGTCAAAGATAAGAACGCATGCTCCCCCTGAAATCCGCCATCGATACCCTCCCAGCCCAAAGCCTAGCAACCTCTGGTGAAGACAGGACAAGGGTCCTGGAGCCAGTTGCAGCTTGACTGCACGGCCTTTGACCTGATATCTTAGCAGCAAACAAAGTCGGACGGGATGCTTCGGGTATAGGATGCTGAGTCGTCATCAGCAGAAAGAAGAACTGTCGAACACATTCTTCTACGACATGTGCAATTTTGCTTTGACCGCCCTCTGCATTCAACCTTGAACGTGAGAAACTCTAAATTGTGGAACATTGTTGCATCAGGACTCCGTGGATTACAGCCAGAAACCATGCAAACGCCCAAGCACGGAAGCAACAAAAGGGACAAGCCTTTTGCCGGAGCTAAAACGCCGAGACCACCATACAGGCCTCATAGAGATTCGGCCCACGCTTGGCGACCTCCTGCTGAGGGAATCGCAGCCGAACTGCCTTCACAGTGTTAGGCTGGTCAGGGTCCTTCTTTTCTCCGGTGGTCGGAGGTAGGCTTACTTACAGGGTCTAGGACCGAGGTTAAACAGGGGATGGATTTCGGATCGTTCGCAACAGCCGAGTTTCCGTTGCTCCAGGCTTGACTCTTGCGCAAGCGATGTAGGACCTATGGCTTTACGGCCCTTTACGGCCATTTATGGCCAATTGGCCGCTGCACACACCACCAACCCAGCACAGGCACAAGCGGCAGCCATGCAGCAGACTTCCCACCGATAGTTATGTATTATGCAATCGGATGATTGTGCCGGTTCCTCCACCCATCGATTATTAAAGGCCTGACAAGAGCATCAGTCAAAGGACTCGGCTCGAAATCGCGCTTTTTTTCCCAAAATCCACAGGCCCCGGCAACCTCGCTCATGGCAATCAAATCGTGTTGTAATCCACTATGTAAGATGACCGACACATCTCCGAAATTGCTCCGACTGTGCTGGCAACAAGAAGCCGACCTGGACGGCAGCATCCAGGGCAGCTTCTCCCATCGCAATGGACAGTTACATTTTTCGCAAGAATTAAGCTGTTTGCCGCACTTGTCTTAGTACTGTGCTGTTGTTACAAACCACAGGCATGAAGCTCTGTTGCTTCATTAACACAATGAACATGCTCACTCTAGACTATAAGTCTGCTGAGATGGTTCTCACGTGTCCTCAAAGCTTGCAGCGTTTGGGCATCTAGCTGCTCGCTGGGAGCTCAACACGATCTCTGAAATGCACAGGGTATGCATAGGTATGCTGTGGTGAGGGTCAGAAAAGAACAAAAGGCTTGGACTGCATTCCGGCATTCGGACAGACCACTTCAAAGGCAGAATCGAAACATTTATTTAACAGCCGCCTGTTCCAATCCAGCTGCCGGGTAGGGTCACAACCGAATTGCCCAGACATGTTGACACCTGGTGAAGACATGCTGCTGAATGTTATTCCTTAAGACTTATATACTGAAACCCTTAAAGTTTCAGGAGAACTGCTGCTTTTTCTTTCGTTAGCAGTGAGCAAGCATACCACACACACAAACAAGCAAGCAAGCAAGCAAGCAAAAAAACAAGCAGCACAGAACGACACAAACAAAAAAGCAAACAAACACACTTACAAGCAAACACTCTCTGGTTCGGAGTCATCAAACTTCAGGTCTGCGCTGAAAGCCTGTGTCAAACACGGCGGCGGCGAGGTGTTTCCCGCTATTGGCAACTAAATTTCAATGCCGGTCCCCCCAAGCGGTTGTGAATTCAGAGCAGCTTGAAATGTCAGAAGCTCCCGCTGTACTTTCTATACTCATATATCCCAAAGGTGCCTGAGAGAACATGCGAAGTTCTATGGACATGTATGAATGTATACTCATGACTGGTACGACCTAGTTCTCACACTGTACATGTATATATATATGTATATATATGTGTGTGTGTGTGTACAGACACATGCGTACATACATATGCACATATATATATATATGCACACACACACACACACACAAATTCACATATACATATATACATATATATATATACATATGTGTATATATATATATGTATATGTATACTTATTGATTTATGTATGATACTACTCTGGCTGTTCAGAAAGTGCACTACACCTATCACGAATCCGGTACTATTTAGGTTGCTGGGATCATCTTCACCATTGTCTACTGCATCGCGTGCTAGGAACCATCGGCAACAGGCAACTGAGCCTCCCTGCACGGCAAGCCAGCTCCTTGTTGCGCTGCCTTGGGTCACCGAAAGGTGAGCCGCGGCACTGGGCTTTGAATGTACCGGGGTAGCGCGGAGGTGCCAGGAATGCCGCAATGAAGTGAAATTCTGAAGCCAATAAGGATGCCCCGCCGGCGTCGTCGTGTCTGTCTAACCAGCACCTCCCGAAACCTAAATGTCTCAACATGTCTCAACTTTTCAGCGGTTGAAGTCTGAACTTGGCCAGTCGGATCGAGCTCCTCACCTGGATGTTAGGCTATTCTTGAGAAACTAGGTCAAGGAAGAAATTCGTTGTCGAGTAGCTTCCGGTCACAAGCAAGAAGGCTTGACTTGGGCTATTCAACGTTCTACATGGAGTAATTGTGCCATGGCTGATGCCCAGATGCTCCAACTCTGCTTTCTCGCGACCTGACCACTTCGACTATCGCTTGGCTTTCGGGTTTAGGGCCTGAAGACATCCACAGGACCTATCGCAAGCAGCATACAGGAATGTCTTTCCGTTCAAGTGCGCTTCCGAGAAAGTGAATCCGCAGCAGGGCAGGCTCTCAAGCTGCGAGGCGGCTTGGGCCTTCGACAGAAACTCGCTGGAACTCCATCTCCAGGTTTTTCTTCAAAGCCTGCTACTGTCGCTGTCGCTGATTACAGCTACAGGATACAGGGCTGAAAGGCGCACGTCCTGGCTTCCCCAACTTTACCGAGTAACTATCTGCACTCACATTTACCACTGACGAGCCCTCACGCAGCTTGGTTGCTTTCGCCGTCTTTGGGAAACACAACGAGGCCTCGTAGTCCTTCGACTTCTCCTCGTAGCGCAGCTTCAGCGTCTTCAACACTTCCTGAGCAGAGAAGGACATCTAAAATACCGGTTACGCTGGTATGCTTACTACAGATCGCTGCAGGCCCACAGTCCGAAAGTGCATATCTCCAACACGCAAGCCGGCTCGTCTCATGCAGCAGGCACTGCAGATCTGCCGCTGTAATCTTCGGACAAGCAAAAGCACATTTGCATGCTCAGGCTGCCCCCTCGCGGCTGCCTTCGCGTAGAGGGGCTCAACACGAAAATCGGCGGGGACTGGCTGGTCGTCCGCTGGGTCCTTTGAACCTCTTCAGCCTAACTCCGGGAAGATGTGCAGGGTGCGAGCAGCCCAGAGATGAGGCCAGCTGTCGATACACAAGCTGTCGGCCAGGGCCGCGTCGCATGTCAGCAACCTCCTGCTGGGCGCAAACAGACAGCGAGAAGGATTCTGAGAACAGGAAGACTGCCACAAGGCCCCCACAAGGCTGCAAGAGCCGCATGCAGACCTGTCGTGATTTCATTCCTCCACATGGATGCGGACAAAGCTTAGGCTTTTAAGCCCTTTTGCCTCCAAACTTGCTGCACCATCGAGGCCGCCAGATCCCCAATTCGATGAGAATCACATCTTTTCCAACTGGAGCAAGGGACCTCCGTTTTGCAGATTCCGCGTCAACAAAGGGGCAAAAACCTTTTCATGCTGTTGTGGCATCTGAATCCCTGGACAGGACCGACACAGGAAATGATCTCGAAGAACACACGTCGCCTCTACTCCGCACGTTCACTGTTGTTGGCCTCTCTTATTCCAAGAAACTATGCGATGCAACAAGTGTTTCGTTCCATGCTCCAGACTTACCACTAGCCCTGCCATTGTCATTGCCACAGGCAGCGCCGCCACCACCACAAAAGACAAAATGCGACTGGAGTGATCAATGCCGAGTATCTCAGCCTTGCAGACATTCACTCATGGACCGTGCTCAAACATCATCAGGAACTTGTCGCAGCACGCTCGGCTCCTGCGCAGTTGCCAGTGCTGTCTTCAGAATTGTCAGGATTGTAGGAACTTGCTTGATGGAAGGGCAGGCTACATTCTCCAACAGAATCCAAAGCATCAGTACCAAGATGATTCTAGCCGATGTATATCAAGACCGAGTTGCATTACAACTCTGATGCACAAGCGACAACAAGCCCTTCAACCCCAAAAAAGCGACATCGCAGGATGGCAGGATTGCTGCAAACAAACAGCCCCAGCGCCTCCGCGTCCCGCGAGCACGGCGGCAACTCCGTAGGCCCAGCTCGCCGCCGACTGCGTCAGGGTCTCCTCTGGCGATTCGGGTTTGGCTTTTGGGCTGAGGTTGCTGGTTGCGAGCTTTGTTCGCCTACAGGTTTATGGTTTCGAAATTCCTAAACCCTTGCGGGTGATACCATGTGTTGCTATTACGAGTATGGTCAGTATAGTCTCAGCAAATCCTTCTGAATGCCGACGGATGCCACAAGGAAAAAGGCGACAACCGCGAATGCGCATGCTTCAGACCCTAGCAACTCTCCTTGCTCTGATTCCTCCGGGTCTACATCATCTTTTTGGTATGCAACCTTCTCAGAATTTCACGTCTCGGAATCAACATCATCTAGCTGTGGAGGGTTGTGGAGGTGTACCTGCTAAAGGCAGCTGGCCCTCATACTCTTGGCGTTGCTGCTTCCACTGACGGCGAAGCATGACAAGGCGGGCTGCCCACTTTGGAGGTGAATACATGGCCCAAGGCCCCATGGCTTCACCCCCAACATCTGTGCAAGTGTTCAGGATTCCGGGGCTATACCCTTAACCTTGAAATGTTAGGATGCCTTGGGATTGAGGCCGCAGGGCTTTCAGTGTCAGGCCCACTTTTGTCTCAAAAAGTTTGAGGGATTGTAGCAAGACTTGTCACTCACTTCCACTGTTTACAGACAGCCACCTTAGTGCAATAATAGCAATAACAGTGATAGTAGTACTAAAAATAATACAGCAAAAATAGCTCAATGGCGCTCTTCATCCCCTTATTTCACTGGTCGGTCCTTCTGTGGAGGTACGAGTAAACAGCCAAACTTCAGCCTTGAAGCCCCATGCTGCGACGACCCCTACCTACTTCCCAAGAGGCCACAGAAACAAAAGGTTCAACTTTCAGATTAGGGTTTAGGGCTTACTGAACTCCAAGAACCCAAGATACGGTCGAAGAATTGGAGAACTAAGCTCTGGTAGGCCTAACTTCAGGATGTGGGAGTCGCTCGAAACACACCCAGGAGACCCACCAACGTATTTCTATCTATCTAGCGATCTATATGCATGTACATCCAGTTCATCTACTTGTCCAGGCCTACTGGTATGTCCATCAGATATGGTTCCAGTGAAGGGTTCCAGGAGCCCAGAAGAAACTTACTTGTCGCGTATCCTCGGGGAACTAAGGTCAGTCTTTGAGAGTCTATAGGTATGATCGTATACCAAAACCCAAAACCCTAAGCCTCTTCGCAACTGGCCTGCAACTGCAACGACTGCTCTAAACCCTTAATGAAGTCCAAAACCATCCCAAAACAAAGGCAAGCCCCCTTTTCCACAGGCTTGAACTGAGCTCTTGCCTTGTAAACCCTAAACCCTAAACCCAAGCCCCCCAAAAAACAGCAAGCCTGGTTGAAGCGGCGCATGCCGCGCGAGGTCGCCCACCAGTCGGCCCCCTCCGGCGTAAAGAAGCTCAGGAGCCTCCCACGGCTCGGAGTCATAATCATAATAATACGGTACTATAATGATAATAATATAATAATAATTATAATTATGATTATTATTATTATAATGTCTTAAAGCTTGGGTTTTTTGCCTCCCACCTAGCTAGGACAAGCTTAGAAGTGAGGGTTTAGATTTATAATAAAGGGTTTAGGATTGAGTTTCGGCGCTCACACTTGGACAATCCAGGGGTCGCAAGTGGTCTTAGTTCAGGGCTTACTCAGGTTTAGGATTCCGTTGAAGGTTAGGGTGTAGGTTTGGGGATTTATTGTTACCCGCTTCGCTGACCAGGTCGCGCGGTTAGGGGCCTAGGGTTTAGGGTCTGGTCTCGTGTTTACTTTTAGGTATTTTTTGCCTCCCGCCTTACCTTAAAGTCTAGTGTAGGAGTTTAGGATTGTGGAAGGGTAGGCACTGTCTTGAAACTAGGGGAAGCTTGATGTTCAACAAAGGCCCAAAACTTATTCTACTTTAACGTTGTTGCAAAAGCTCCCCGGGTTAAGAAAGGGAGGGCAGCCCTGAATTGATTTTGCAAGGATGCCGAGTAGAAAGCAGTGCTGAAGGCGCAACTAACAATCAATGCAGCGGTACCAAGAAGCCCCACCCACACATCCAACCGTCCACCATCCTGAGCAATTAAAGTAAGCGACCCTAACCCTAGGGGAGCCTGGTACTTCCGATAAGGGCGTCTCTGTTTTCAAGCGCAACCCACCCCCCCAACCGCCCAGTACTGCCAGCACTATCCAGATAACGGAGCACCAAGCACAAGACTTCGGATGTGTCTGCGAGTTCCCAGTACATCTGTCTCTTGTCTCAGGGGCTTTTGGCAGTTTCAACTTGTGGCGACTCCACGGAGCCTTTATAATGGGTTTTGTAGGGTGGTGAATCACAGGTTCGAAGAACTTTCTGATGCTTCTGATCTCAGGGGCTCATGCACCTCAAGGATATTCCGTCATTCCGAGAAACAGTCGCTGGACGGTCTTGTTTAGAAAGCTTCAGGTCAAGGTTGAAGATCTTGAATCCTTGTTCAAGGTTGCGCTGGGCATGAAAGCCTCGTGCCGGAGACAGGCCCGGTGTTTGACTACTGCACTGGTTCTGCCATCAAGCACTACTACCCACGTAACTGCACCTGGTCGAAGTCACAACTGTTGGGGATTTGGCAGCACTTGTGCGTCAGAGGGTGCGGTTTTCGCTATGGGGCGTCGATACGACTTTCTGTGCGGGTCATTGAAGCTTCTCGGTTTCTGCTGCAGATGAAGACTTGAAGGCAGGCGTTTGCACGCGTCGGGAAGGCTGGAGCGCTCGATGCATGGGCAGCCGGTCTTCCAAGTTTGTGTGACGGTCGTGGGAAACGCGCTGGCTGCTATCAGTGGTCGACGACGGACCAGTGTAACCAGGAATTTATTCAGATTGTGCGTTGGATTTTGGCCTTCCTTGTTTGTAGTTGTAGTTTACCCAGTTGCTCACCAAAGGTACTGGCTGCTCAGCCACCATAATGCAGTCGATATCGCAGACTGTATTTGTTTCGAGTTGGACGCGTCTGAACACCGAAAACAGAACCCCACGACGCAATCGCAATCTTGCTGATTGCTTCCGGGACACTCGGCGACGCTCCCAAAGCCTTGTGAGGGTCAGGCAGCGAATGAATGTGGAAGATTTGGTTTCGGGCAGATGTCCTGCTGAGTAAGCCGGGTGAGCAACTCTAGATTGCAGACATTGGCCAAGTTCTGCCTGGCCTTCCTTGCACTCACATAAACAACCAAATTCCTGAGGAGACGGCGGAGTATGAATGGAAACTTGGCGAAGTCCGTGCCTAGGTCCATAAGCAGTGGTCAGAGTGGTCTCGCGAGAGTTCGCGCCATGCTGGCTCTGACTCTCACATCTACTAGCAATGGAGAGGCGTGCAGCCGAATGCCCTGCCGGCGTGGCTTTAGACGGTTTAGGTCCCGAGGCCTAATGAACAGGGAACATGTTGAAAGCCGGCTCTTGGTCAAACATTTCTGCAGCTCGAGAAGCGCAGGACGTCCAGCTCCGTGATGGAAGTGGTGAAGCTTGATGAACGGTACATTGATTTGTGAGATGAAATCCAACCACGAAAAAACTCGAGCAGAGAACACAGGCCATAGCTCTGGACCCTTTTACAACTGGACTCACACGAAGGCCAGCATCGAGAACTTAGCGATGCAACGCAGTGGAGGATTCGTGTCCTCAACATTGAAGAATGCACTGGAATGACTGCTATGACTCCGTCACACCTCCAAACAGATTTCGAACCAAGACTTTTGATGTCAGCTGGCAAGAATCAATCCTAAACCCGTAGCATGCTCAGCCCCACTGTAGGTGCCAGAAAGTTGGGAAATCATCATCCTTATGAAAATGAGGCAATGCACAGGCCATCCCACTAATAA